TTTGCACGTAGTATTATTCAGTGTGGTGACTATTCCATCGCTGACTGTCTTCATCTTCACCATGGGTCGCTTGCCCCACAGGCCCTCCAATAACGTAAGGGTTGTTAGTGCTTCTTGTTCGAGGCTGGAATGTGTGATCATCGTTCGGTTAACTTTTGGTCACGTCTTTTGCGTCTGTCTGGCCCACTGGAATGCCCCCTGATTCCAGCTATTTTTGATGCTCTTCTTCTCGGTAGTATCTGGTTGACCATCCCTCTCCGATGTATCAGTTTTTCTCGTGGTGTATTATTTAAAGTTTTTTAATCTGCTCAAAAACTTTATCTGGTTATTGGGTTGTTTCTTCTTGGTCTCTGTGTTGACTTTCTTTCGTCAACGACCTAGTCCCTCTCTTATTCACCGCGTCAAAATTATAGGTGTTGCTTTTTTGCTCCACCTTCTGGTTACCCTTTGTGTGTGTTATAACGTATTGTGGATTTCCTAGGTCCAGCCATAGTGATTGCAATAGCTGTTGTAACCTACGAATAGTGCTATGCGTAGTACTACTGTATGTGTGTGTGTGTGTGTGCGTGTGTATGTGCGTGCGTGTGTGCGTGTGTGTGTAAGTCAGCGATCTTATAGTATTATCAGTGAATAGAAGTCGTTAAAAAGACTCCTACCAGACCGAACCATCTACCTTGACATCTATTGGACTCCTCCAACTGTGTATGTAATTAACACAAAAGACGTGATAGTGTTGTTTTAGTAAATAAAGATCGTTAAGAATGAAAGCAGCATCCAATATCTTGACGCGTCTTGGTGCGAAACTGTTAAAGAGATTAGCCAATGAGAAGAATGGCTAAAGGTACCCGATGTCAGAGAGGAGCTGCACAAAGTGGTAATTACCTTAGGACGAGAATGCAGTGAATGGGTGGCAAGATGTGAAGACGCAGAGGTTCAACAGTTGATAGATGACAAGTCTAGGCCAAGAGATGTGATTAAATGCATTGATAGGTCATTAGACAGGGGCAGGAAAGGCGTATGGGGCTTCGTCGCAGAAGCATGGGGGAGAAGGATGATAGAGGAGAGCTTGGCATATGACATTAGCATGGAGGTTGAGACGGTGTCTGTTGCGTTCCGATTGGTGGAACAGATCTCAGCCATAAATGTTGTCATAGTATCGGATTCGCAAAGCATGCTCAGGTTGTCTTCGTATGGAAGGGGTTACATCAATCCAGAGGTCGCAGAAGGCGAGAGTCCATGGATATTTTGCCCGGGCTATTAAGATGTGTTTGGGAATGAACAGACTGATACACTGACTGCAGTGATCTCACCTAGAGGTGTACTGCAACTGCCCAAGGCAGAGGTAAGCTCTAACCTGTGGGATGACAAAAGAGATTAAATGGAAGATACTGCAAACTCTTACCTGGAGAGATGATACAACTGGGCGTGGCAAGACGTGTAATTAGCTAGATGACAGATGACAAGTGAACTGCAACTGCCCAAGGCAGAGGTAATCTCTAACCTGTGGGACGACAAAAGAGATTAAATGGAAGATACTGCAAACTCTTACCTGGAGAGATGATACAGCTGGGCGTGGCAAGGCGTGTAATTAACTAGATGACAAGGGGTACTATCAGTATGGAAAGTCTTCGTTGTCTGTTTAGGAGGGAGACGGAGCAAATATGGGCTTGTATTGAATACTGTGGTGTCCGATCTATACCCAGATGAATCCTTAGTGCCCAAAGTCAGAAATATTTGTAAACGAACTAGCACGGATTCGAATCAAAGATCTTCATCGTGGCTCCTTGGATTACGTGTAGACAAGGAGGTAAAAAAACACAACGTCAACATATTTTGACAACACTGCTGTATTTATCTTTATGGCAGCAGCAGTAGAACAATTGCTGGACACTGTTTTGTCGGACTGAAGGTCTGAGGGTAGAATAAGCAACAAAGTGTGTTATTTAATGAACACCTCGACTCCCAGAAAGTCCAGTTGATAGCTGGTACCTTAAAATGTCCGGTAAAATCATTATCATCAAATAAATTCTGATTGGTCTGTTTTAAACACGTATGTCTGGTTTCATATGCCCCTGACTCTAATAGCAGACATTTATATTCTCGACCTTTCCCCACACGGTTGTTGATTTGCTTGAGTCCTGCTACTCAATACATACTAAAATGCGTCTGATGTGTTCTCTCTATATCCAAGGATAAAAAAGAGCCCGCTTAGCTACATCCAGACATTGTCAGACAAGGTTCCATGGCCAGCATGAGGAATCTAGAAGATTTGATCAAGGAAACAAGTGGCACCAGACTGGCACAAGTGTTCATTGTTGGCTTCGTCGCCCTATCAAGAGTCTGCATGGGATGGTGTTTCTTGGCGGTAAATACGACTTGATAATTGTAGAGGAAGCCTCTTTACTTTCATTCAGTTGACTGCAGTCATCAAGTAAAGTTAGGCACAATTACATTCTTTTCGTTAGTTTCCATTTAACGCCATTTAAGAATGTCAAAATAT